CCCCCCCATAGCCTGCAAGCGGCTTGTGTATTGAGAGGTCAGGTCGGGGAGCCCCCCCCATAGCAGACAAGCAGCTCGTGTATTCAGAGGTCAGGTCGGGGAGCCCCCCCATAGCAGACAAGCAGCTCGTGTATTCAGAGGTCAGGTCGGGGAGCCCCCCCCCATAGCAGACAAGCAGCTCGTGTATTCAGAGGTCAGGTCGGGGAGCCCCCCTATAGCAGACAAGCAGCTTGTGTATTCAGAGGCCGGTCTCCAGGACAAAGTCAGGCGAGGAGCGTCCTCCATGCTGTACACCTCGGACTGTGTAGGTTTATTATACTCTGTATGCAGATCACAGACGTCTCTCCTCTTCTCTCCTTCAGTTTATAGACGCTGACAACTTGCTGATTAACCCGGACACCCTGAACCTCATGATTGCCGAGAACAAGACGGTGGTGGCCCCCATGTTGGAGTCCAGGGCGGCCTATTCCAATTTCTGGTGCGGAATGACCAGCCAGGTGAGCGGAACGTTCTGGAAATGGATTCGAAGGACAATTCTATTTTTATTTTATTACTTTTTTTCTATGTGCAAAAAGATTTACTTGTGTCAGTTACAGAAGAACTCCGGTAATGTAAAAAAACGTACCCTTGCCTTGATGGCTACCTCTGCACTGCAAGGGTTAAGTGCTCTAGGGGACGCAAATATACTCACCTGATCCTCTGTCCCTTGGCGGTCAACACTCACTTCTTCCCCCTTCACGCCAGCTGTGGTATGACCCTCGGCGTCATCATGTCTAATAGACCTGAATTGAACGTGACTACATCAGCGGCCCATAGACCACCGGAGCCTGGGGAAGAAGGTGCTGTGTGGATCAGTCTAGCAGCCCCACAGGACCGAGGATCAGGGGAGGAGATGGGCTTTATTTCAGCCCTCTAGGCAAAATGAGCATTTAACCCTTGCAGGTCAGGTCAGTAAGCCCCCCCATAGCCTGCAAGCCCCATTAGGAGGGCATGTTTTTTTAAAATTCCCAGAGTAAGCCCATGAGGTAAGACACCGACAATCACAGGCATGACTAGCAAAGGCAGATGCATGATGGGATTTGAGGTTTCACCACAACTGGAGGGCTGCAGTTTGGCTACACCCCCCCCCCCCCCCACCCCCCCGCCACAGATCCTGCAAAGCCCCCCTGAGACCCGGCTGAGCCCTTCACAGATCCT